CCGTTTCCGGGGCAGTCTCTATATTGCGTATTTCCTTCTTGCAGTCCCTTAGTAGGACTTTGTATTCCTCATTGATGATGTCATCTTTCGCCTGCTTGGCGATTTTAAAGAATTCTTTGAGTTTGTTGCGTCGGAGTGAAAGGTCCTTATTCCATCAGGGTGGCCTGGTCCTCTTTCTCGTGTCGGATATAGGACATGATGCGTGGTACGCATCCAGTAGTTCTTTGGAGAGGGTCTCTAGGGACTTTTCTATGTCTTCCGCGGATTCTACTATGCCCGGAGAGATCGCGAGCCGTGTCGCGATAGTCTCCTTGATCTTTCCCCAATTAGTATTCCGGGGGTTCCTGAAGACTGATTGTTTTGGAGAGTGTTCGAATGCGTATTGGAACCGTATGTACTCATGATCTGAGAAGGTTGGTCTCTCAAGGACTACCAATTCTGATACCAAAGTACCTTGTCCCCTTACAAGAGTAAGATCTAGCACGTTTAAGGAGGTGGGACCTACATAGGTGTGTTCCTCCCCCACGTTTGCTATACTCAGGTTGGTTGAGAGTATAAAGTCTAAGAGGGACTCACCTCAGTCGTTTATGTCAGGGCTCCCCCATACGCAGTGGTGCGCGTTGGCGTCTGCACCCACGAGCAGTTGCTGGTCTTTCGGGCTGGCTTCTACCAAGCTCATGAGTTCTTCTGGTGGGGCCGTCCTGTCATGTGCCATATAGCAGGAAACTACCAAAAGGCGCTTTTTCCCGCTCTCTAGCATCACCACGGTCAGGTCATCAGAGCTGTAATGAGACAAAAGGTTAGCGTGTAGACCCTTCCGTACAAGTATGGCGGTTCTATTCCTGCTTACCGTTGGTGGATGGAGCAAATTGTAATTTGTGGACTTCAGTCCGGCGATGGCATTGCCTGAGGCGATCCATGGCTCCTGGACCAAAGCTATGTCGGCGGATCCTTGCTCCCGTGGCATTGCCTGAGGCGATCCATGGCTCCTAGACCAAAGCTATGTCGGCGGATCCTTGCTCCATGGCTATGACGAGTTCCGCCGACGCGACCATTCTCTTATGGAGGTTGAGCTGCAGCACCCTGAGTGTCATGGGTACTGGCCTCACCTCCATACGACAGGTTGACTACTACGGTCAGGTCACCGTCCTCTCCTTCGTCGGACTCATCCAGCGTCATTTCCCGGTCGGCATCCACGATGGTTTCCAGACCTAGGTCCTTCTCCACCACATCTGCCTTCAGGGTGTGAGCAACCGTATCCCAGGGGTGGCGCTTTTTGAGGCGCAGGTATACGCTACCCATGCCCCACGCCATCTTCCCGTATCTGGGATAAAGGATGTCCTCTGCCTCCTTGTTTATCTGGAGGACTGCACTTTGCCCCCCTCCTTGGGTGATGGGGCCGCAACGTGCAGAACCTTCCAGTTCGCGGTTGGGATATCCGGGCTCTGACGCTACAGCAGCTTCAGCGCCCGGTCCGATTGGATTGCGATGGGGAAGAGTACCTTCGCTTTTGTAGTGGATGGAACTAGCTCCCGGTCCACCACCTCTAGCTTGGCTCCCTTCCACAGCGCCTCCAACTGGCAGACCGCTTGCGTCAGCCACTTTCTCGTCGGGTCATCCATGCACTTTAGGATTTTGACCCCTTTTAGCCACCCAGCGCCATCGAAGGTGGGCATGGGAGCTTCGGTATCATCCTCCATCCGTGCGTATAATGACTCAACGAGCCGCGCATGCACCATCTTCCGCTGCGCCTCGGTCATTTTGCCGGCTTCATCGCTGCTGTTAATGAGGGCCACGATCAAGTGTCGTTTGGTCACCTCACTGACTTTTGCGGGTTTTTTTTGGGCTATTTCGCCATTTGAGGAGGGCCTGCCTCCTTAGGCCCGCGTTGCCGCTTGCTCCCCGGTGCGTCCATAGAGGCGCTTTCGGTTGAAAGTTGCCTTTGTTGGCAAGCGTCTCCTCCACCTTGTTGGCGAATCCGCCAGTCGATCTCATGTGGGGGAGTTTGGCGAAGTGAAACCTCCCCTCAGCGATTTTCTCCTCAGCCCAGGTAAGCTTTGCCTTCTCCTCTGGGGATAGGGCGGCTTTTTCCTGGAGCCGATCCTGGATGCGGAGGGCAGCCTTGTACATCGCCTTGGCCTTCATTCCCTCGCTTGACCGCTTTGGCTCGTCCCTGCGGTGGGAGCTGGTTCCTGGTGCCTGGTGAGTGGAGAAGCTGCACGCTCCCAAGGTCCGAGTCTGTATCGACTATGTAACGTGAGCGGCTTAACTTCCCCTGCGTAGTTCTTTCGGCAGTAGCGTTGCAACTGACATGACCTGCTCCCGTCACATCAGAGGTGTAACCGCTGGCGACACGCAGAGAGGATTGCTCCCCCCGTGCAAGTAGGTGGTAGCGGTCACGCCTTCCACCGACGTTTGGGCTGACCTCCCAGCCCTGGTTTTATCATTCAAACCCTCCAGAATGCTATCTTTTATGGGGGTACCGCCCACTTGCGTTTTGTGCCTTCCGCCAGGCACCATGGCTAACGGCTCACTTCCTTAGGCTTTTAGGACAGAAGGAGCTGACACTGTATTATCGCGGACAGGGCAAGCAGCGATGCATTACTCGTGTCCGGGCTACTATAGTGCTTATTGCCCAGCCGGCACCCTCGGGGAGGGTTCAGATGGAGGCCAGGCCCCAGTGATAGTTCTCAGGATTTTTTATGAAGTTTCTTGCATTCAATATGTCTTCGCCATGTTAGGCGACTGTCCAGGTGGACGCCCTGGTACGTTACCATGTTGACTTCGGGGATCTGCGTGCTGTTCAGGTAGAGCGGAGGACATGTATGTCTGTTGAGAGTGAACGTTATGTGCTTACACTTTTGTTCATTTATTTTGATACGCCAGTCAGATAGCCACTTCTGGACTACGTTGAGGTGGTTGGCGTGCTGGGTTGTTGCACGGACTGGGCATCTGGAACGGCTGAGGCTCGCAGGGGCGTCAGCGGAAGTGGATAATGTTAGCTGGTCGCTTGTGGGGATATCCGCTGTGTATAGGACAAATAGGGTAGGACCAAGTGCGCCTCCTTGTGGAACTCCAGCTTCGATTGAATAGGTGCCGGATGTTTTTGCGATGCACCTCACTGCGAAAACTCTGTTGTAAAGTTACGACTCAAGTAATTTGTGTGTGTATACCGGCAAAAGTGTTTTAATTTAGTGCATTAAGTCGTCGAGCCAGACGCGGTCGAATGCTTGAGAAACGTCGAGAAATATCGCGCTGCAATATTCTCGATGTTCGAAGGCTGTGCGAATTTCTGTTATTCTGTTAACTTGCTCGATAGTTCCATGTTTTTCTCTGAAGCCAAATTGATAAGCTGGGATGATGTTGTGAGCTCCCAGATAAGGAATTATGCGCTTTAGTAGGCATTTTTCAAATAACTTGGACAAGCATGATAGTAGACTTATTGGTCGGTAAGATGACGGAATCGTGTGGTCTTATCCGGGCTTCGGTATCATTATAATTATTGATTTTTTCCATTTTGTTGGGTAATGGCCGAGACTTATGATCCCATTGAAGATTTCACAGATGACCTCAATAGCACAATTCGGAAGTTCAATTATCATATTTTGAGTTATTAGGTCATCGCCGGGAGCCTTTTTCGGCTTCAGTTCCCTGATGACCTTCGTGATCGCGTTCGGACGAAATGATGCTGGAGTAGATTCTGTTTCAATTTGGATTTGCGGTAGTTCAAATGGATTTACAGCAGGGTTCGGCTCGAAGACGCCCTGGAGATGTGAGGCAAAAGTTTCGGCTCTGTCTTTGTCGCTGCGGGCCCAGCAACCAGATGACTTTCTTAATTGTGCATTTTTGGCATCTTGCTTCAGGCCCGGCCCGGCTTAGTTTGCATGTGGCTTCGATTAGACGTTGCTTTGAGCATGGCGACCTATTGGTTTGCCACGCCCGTCGCAGACGCCTCTTTTTTTTTTTGGATAAGCTGTTCAATTCGCTGGTTCGTTTTGAATTTTTTTTTTTGCACATCCGTCCGTGATGCTGGCTGCTGTCACAAGTACCTCTTCCAGAGCGGAGGTGGAGCAGTCGATGTCCGCTTCAGTATTGAGCAGGGGAGCTAGCTCAATATGACAACTCACATACTTTTTGTATTTCATCCAATTGGATCTGTGCGACGTCAGCCTGTAGGGGTGATCCGTAGTTTCTGGGCTTTGAAGGAGGGTTATCAACAGCGGCGAGTGTTCTGTAGAGCCGGGTTGGGCTTGATAGACGTTTTTTCTGCATCGATATCGCGAGTTGAGAAATAAGCGAAATAACCGTTTCTTTGGTTTACAGAGCTTCTGCGCTTATTTTTTTGATTGCCGGTCATTATTTTGAGCTTGTTACGCGTGACACCACATAAATGAACTTTGCAGCTCAAAAACACGTGTCAGGCACTAGTATCCGTATGTCATACGTACTGTAGGGCTTGGCCTAACTATCAGTACGTAGTTTAGATTTCAAAATGTATTTAAATCCGTGAGGGTTTTCCGGACAAATAAATCGAAAAATTGGGCGACTAGCAACTAGCTGCCTAGCTGGGGAATTTCCACTCGAGGCAAAGAAAAGAAGAGGAAAAAAAAAACTGCAGTCGCACATAAGTTTTATTGTGCTGGCGTAGCCAGCAGTTCCAAAGGTTAATCGGCTACTAATTTACACGAGCAGCGTCCGAAATTGCCTCGCTATGAAAGTTATGCGTTCGGCTATTCAGCTAAGCTGAGTGCAAGCGTGCAAACGATAACCTCCTCGTTAGGAGCGCTGTTTATTGGCAGCAATGCCAACTTATGGATGGCGCGCTTGATGACGCCTCCTGACGTCTGAATTTGTGCTACACGCACTTTACCGTCCCCGCCGACTTGTGTTGCTACCACGCGCCCTGTTAGCCACCGTTGTGGGGGCGAGTTGTCCTCGTGTACGAGCACCAAGCGTCCGACCTCAAAATCGCTGCATCGGGTGCTTTACTTGTTGCGCTGCTACAGGCTGACGAGGTAGTCCTTGGACCAACTGTCCCAAAACAGCTGCTTGAGAGCGGACAGCATTCGCCACCGCCTCAAGTACTCGCATCCGGCCTTGCTGAAGATTACGCCTGTGCCGGACTCGTGTGGCAGCGAAAGAAGAGCCTGACCGATCAGCAGGTGTCCTGGTGTCAGCACCTCTCCATCGTTGAGATCGTTGCCAGGCGATGCGATTGGTCGAGAATTGAGCAGCGCCTCTACCTCGACCAGGTGGGTGCTCCATTCGTCGGCAGTTAGCTTGGCGTGGCCGACCCCTCTCAGCAGTCGATGCTTGGCTGACTTGACGGCTGCCTCCCACAGTCCTCCGAAGTGTGGTGAGCTCGGCGGTATGAAAAATCACTCGACACATCCCTGAGCCGCGTACCCTCTCAGCTGATCCTTACTGTGGTGAAACGCTGCGTTCAGCTCCTGCAGCACGTTGCTCGCTCCTACGAAATTCTTGGCATTGTCGCTGTACACCCAAAGAAAATCGCGGCTGTCCGAGGACTGGAACCGCCGACGATCTGCAAGGAGTTCAGACGATGCTTAGGGGTTGCGTCATGGTACAGGCGTTTCGTGCCAAACTTTGCAACGATCGTCCAGCCTCTATCGACACTTCTCAAGAAGGGACGCAAGTGAGTTTGGAGCGAGCCTCAACTGTAGGCTTTTGAGGAATTAAAAACGAAGCTGACGGAAACCCCGTTACTGGCGTGTCTACACAACAACTGGAAACGTTTGAACAGCTCAAGGAAGGACCGGATCCGTGCAAATGGATAGAAGCCAAGTGCCAACAAATACGGGCGAGCCAAGATAAGTTTCCGGACTACGTTGAAGAGAACGGCCAGTTATATCGGCACTTTGCCGATCCCTTTGATCAGCAAGGACGCGGAACCTGGAGACTTTGCATACTGAGTAGCCCTCGGCAACAAATTCTGCAAGAATGCCGTGACCATACGACGGTGCGCCACATGGCTATTCACAAAATGGCCAAAAGCATCTGGACGTAGACCGATACGTGCGCCGGTGTCCGACCTGTCAGCAGTACAAAGTGAGCCAACTTAAGCAGGCTGGAAAGATGACCCGGCGACCCGAAGGTCCCTTCCAGACGCTATGTGCCGATTTTGTAGGACGACTGCCTCGCTCCCGACGAGGATATACTATGTTTCTTCTGTTCCTGGATCACTTCATGAAATGGGTGCAGTTAGTTCCCTTGCGGAAGGCCACGCCGGCAAGCCTGGAGTTAGCCTTTCGAGAACGAATTCAGGCGAGGTTCGGAGCTCCGAAGACTCTCGTGTGCGATAACGGCACACAATTTATGAGCAGGGCGTTCAAAGCATTTTGTAAAGGAGCAGGAATCCAGATTCAGCACACGGCCCTATACTCTCCCCATCAGAATCCGACGGAGCGGGCAAATTAGATAGATCGGGCAGTGCGCAAACGAGAATCAGAAAAACTGGGATCAACTCCTGCCTTAAATTAATCTCGCTATTAATACCAGCGTCTCCGACAGCACCGGCTTTAGCCCAGAGTACCTTATACAAGGCCGGGAACCGCGGTTACCTGGAGCCTAGTTCGACGAAGTGACTCCAGTGGCCGGCGTAGCAATTGCTGAACCCAAGGCTAAAGCTAACCACTTGAAGGAAGTATTCCAGGCGGTCCGCTCAAAAAAGGGGAACGCCACACAAGAGCAAAGGAAATACCACAATCTGCGGAGGCACACATGGAGGCCTAACGTTAGTATGGGTCCGAACGCACCCACTCTCCAAAGCAGCTGGTACCGAAGTACGAGGGACCTTCTAAAATATAAGGTTTCTCTCGGCGAACATTGTTCGACTTCAAATTCTGGAGACACGGAAACGACGAAATGCCAATCTCGCCGACTTGAAATCCGTGCACGACGACCCGACACTGGAACCACCCGCTGGAACCACGCACAGTAGCGCCTTTTCCCATTTTACGTTGCAAAAATCATAACTTTTGAACCAAATAAGATAATAAAATAATTTAAACGCCATTTAACAGCCAATTGTTGTAAAATTTGCATATTTATTGGAAAATGAGCCACGCCCACTCATTCCCTTTTTTGTAGGGTATCAAAATGAAAAATTCGGGTTTTTTCAATGAAAATAATTTTTTTTTAATATTTTTTATTTAAGGGTTTATCTTTATTTTTATGTATTTGCTCAAATAAAAATAATTTGAAAACTGAAAAAAAAATTTTTTTTTAATTCAAAGTGTAACCGCCACGCCCTACAGTTAGTATATTTTTTGGTTTGTATGAAATTGTGTCGGTATTTTGTTATATTTAACCCTGAGTTATTTTGGTTTACGCTTTTGCATTTCCGCAGACGCAGCTCGACGCAGCAGATGTATGTTGATTTTGGTCCAGAATAGATCCACAAAGGTCGTGTAGTTATTGTGTAGTAGGTGTCTCAGCCCATCCAAAAAGGACAAGACTACTTTAGCCAGAAAAAAGTGAAAAAAATGGACACATGACAGGTAGCGATTTACCTGTGCAAGCCCAAACCCAATTCCCTTTTTCAGATTGGGATACAGTTTATGAATGTGTCTATTATTTAAAGCAAAAATCATGGCGATAGGTAATATATTTTTTGTGTAATATGATCCTGTATTTCATCCGTGGAAAGTTCGGCTCTTTAAGCAATATTTCACTGTGATTGCCTTGCTGATTCGACCTGGCGATTTTGGGAAATAGACCTGTATGTTAGGAGCCGCTCCGAAGCCATTTCCTGAATTTGCTGCTCCCGAAGTCTCCTGTGAAGTCTAGTCTTTCAATGATGCATTGTGTTATTTTGTTGTTCCCCTTCCCGAGTTATTGGGATGTTCCTCCTGATTTTGTGGACTTCGGCGTCTCGTGCTCGCTCGGTCCTCTCCGGTTAGAGCAAGAGAGGGTGTTTTGCACTTGCTGATGTCGTAGTTCCTCGGATTTTTGCATGCACGTTCTGGTGCCCGCAGTATTTTGCAACTGCTGTGGTCGTCGTTCCTCCGAGTCCTGTCTGGCGAGTGCATGAGTGCAACATTTAATCGTTCCCGCGCTCACTACGCCATTTTTGAGAGCGTGCTACGGTATTTCGTAGGCGAGTCTCCTCTGCAACCTCCGAATTTACTGAGGGGACAATGGCATTGTGCTCGGCATTTCGGACTATAATTTGCGCAGCATATCGATCGTATTGAGTGTGACTTCGCCAAAGTGCGGCCAGCCGACGCTCTTCCTGAGATTAAGAAGACGTGCGCTAACTTTCATAGCGAACGGCATTTTTTTTTGGCATTTAAAACCACTGGGGCTCAGTTTAAATTGCTTAAATACAATTCCAAACTTTGCCGTTCTGCTACGCGAGTGCATGTGTCTTTCAGTTTTTAATTAATTTATAGGTAGTTTATTAATCACTTTTAGTTTTTGCGTTTTCTTGTTCCCCTTTTGTGCTATCCCGTTTATTTGCTTCTAACTGCACTTAAGCGGTTCTAAGCTTTCATTTGTTCTCTGCTCACCCACGCCTACGCTCCCGCTCTCACGTTTTTTTTCGACACTTTATCTGTGCTCCGTGGTCGAAGGTTGTGTAAAATGGTGTCAAATATTGTCTGCGCAATTAAAGGCCGCCAAAAAGAAGTTTTGGCAGATCTGCCCAGCCTTTATTGCTGACTTTGCGATGCGGTCGTACACGCTAAGTGTCTGGACTTAACGGGCCGTATCGCTGACGTTATTTCTGCCAAGAATGGCATACGTTACTATTGCCATGCCTGCCGGGAGGTTGACAAGAAAATTTTATCCTTTATACGACAGACCAAAAGCGGTTTTAATGAACGTAGGGTTAATTTTCGCAAAGCGAATGACCTGTTCTCAGCGCCGGACACTCAATTTAACAGGATGAAGTTGATAAGTGAGTCGCCAAAGCGCTCTCAAGCTGTGACACCGCAGACTTAAAAAAAATTTCACCCATTCCACAGGGTAAAAAGGGCCGGACCACCGGCTGAAGTCGGTTATGCTGCGTTACCAAAGACCCTCACCGCTGTTCCACCATTAAAGACAATATTTGTTTCTCGGCTTGCCCCTGACCTTGCATCGGAAGATGAACTAGATCATATACTGAGCAAAAAACAAACCGAAACAGTTTTATAACTTTGTTAACACTAAACGTAAACCCAATATAAATCCTTCCTTACTTTCATTTAAGAACACTACAGCAATCTCTGATCAGGCCATTATTCACCGGGTCCCAATGGAAGACCAGGCTTCGTGCTCAGGTATTGTGCTGGGGCTCTGTGCAATCCCCTTCTGAAATTGTTTACCTTATTTTTAGAAACCTCAGAATTTCCCCTTATTTGGAAGGAATTATTTATCATTCCTCTCCATAAAAAAGGTAGCAAATTGTCGGCAATTCCAAAACTTTTTGAGAATGTAATTACTCCTCACTTGCACCATTTATGCAGATCCGTAATTTCTCCATATCAGAATGGATTTATGAGGCGAAGATCGACCAATACAAATATTCTGGAACTCACATTTTTCGTTATTAGGGGTTTCAAACGCAACTTTCAAACCGACGTGATTTACACAGACTTTAGTTAAGCTTTTGAATCGGTTAATCACTTTCTTCTTGTAAGGAAGCTTGACTTAATCGGGTTTCCTGTCGATCTACTTAAATGGATTTTGAGTTATGTAAGTGACAGAACTCAAAAGGTTCTGTTTAAAAATGCTGTATCGAAATTCCTCAGAGTCACTTCTGGTGTTCCACATGGTAGCCACCTCGGCCCGCTGCTATTCACTTTGTTTATCAATGACTTCCCGCTGGTTCTAACGAACTCTAGAGTACTTATGTATGCGGATGACGTTAAACTATGGTTGCAGTATAGGTACAGCTCTTACCAGTCAGACCTGCATTCGGATCTTAAAAACTTTCAATAACTCTCAATAGCTCCAAATGAAAAATGATGACATTTTCACGAGTCACTCCACAGTTTGCCACTTATACGCTTAATGATTGCGTTTTGGAAAGAATAATAATAATAATAAAAAAATATATTTGGGTGTTTGCTTAGACCCTAAACTTTCATTCTCAGAACATATTTCGTGCATGGTTAATAAAGCCAGAGGCATGCTCGGTTTTATTAAGAGGTGGTCGAAGGAATTCGATTCCCCTTATACAACGAAGACCCTTTTTACTTCGTTAGTGCGCCCTATATTGGAGTATGGTTCATGCGTCTGGAGTCCTCAATTCAGAGTCCATATTAACCGTATTGAATCTATACAAAAGAACTTTTTACTTTTCGTCCTTCGTGGACTCCCTATTTTGGTAGACTTCTATTAATTAACTTACCGTCCCTAGCTAACCGTAGAACGATGCTTGGTGTCGTATTTCCAAAAAATTTAATAAACTGTGATGTTGAGAGCCACTATCTCTTAGGGCAGCTCAATTTCCACGTTCCTCGACTAACATCCAGAACCCATATCCCATTAGTAGTAAATCACTGTAGGCGGGAGTTTGAAGTATATGAACCCTTTAGGGTTTTATGTACGAATTACAACCGCCTCTCTGATATTATTATTCGTAGTGATAACCCTTCTATTCTAAAGACTTTAATTCTTGTAGAATTCGCTCGTAGTGTAGTACCGTAATCTAGTTTTGCATGCGTTTTTATTAATCTACTTTATTATTATTTAAAATTTTTTTTTATCCCCTCCTTAAAATGTTTCCTCTTTCGTTTATCTTCTTTCATTCTAACGCCTCTATCTAGTTCGCGATTCGTGCCGTACGTCACACGGCTGCGCGTGGAAGCCTGACCCCGCGCGAAAAAAAAAAAAATGGACAAAGCGCTTGAAAAGGCTAATCCCCCGAACGGTGGTTCCTACATGAAATTGAAATATATTAAGGTAAACGTTCCCAAACCAAAGCTTGCAAAAATAGTGGAACAATATGTACAACTTACTTTAAATTTACTAACATTTGTCTTTATATATATGCACTCACACGGCTGGCCAAAATCCTCCATCTGAACCCTCCCAGAGGGTGCCGGCTGGGCAATGGGCACTGTATTAACCCGGATACGGGTAATGCATCGCTGCTTTCCCTGTCTGCGATAATACAGTGTCTAGCAAAGGCCACGGTTCTGCTCCTTCTGCCCCAAACAGCCGAAGGAAGTGAGCCGTTTGCCATGGCTGGTGGTGTTTGGCGGAAGGTATAAAACGCAAGTGGGCGGTACCCCCAAAAAAGATACCATTTTGGAGGGTTTAAATAAAGATACCTGGGCTGGGATGTCAGCTCAAACGTCGCACAGTAGCGCCTCTCGAACAAAAGCCGTTGCAAAAATCGAAAAAGTCGTTGTCGCAAAAACGATTTTAACCATACTTATTCGACAGGAAATTTCCCATGGATTCAGAATCTGCTGTAAAATCAATTTTCGGATTTTTTTGTAGAAGATATGAGCATTCAAAGTTGAACTTTGTTTCCATTTTTGCATCATAAGAAAAAAAAAGGGAAAATTGGTTGACTTTCAGGTAATAATACACAAAAAATATATTACCTATCGCCATGATTTTTTTTTTAAATAATAGACACATTCATAAACTGTAACCCAATCAAAAAAAAATGGGAATTGGGTTAGGGCTTGCACAGTTAAATCGCTACCTGCCAGGTGTCCATTTTTTTTCACTTTTTTCCGGCTAAAGTAGTCTATATCTTTTTTGGATGGGCTGAGCCACTATACACACTATAACTACGACCTTTGTGGATCTATTCTGGACTAAAATCAACTTACATCTGCTGCGTCGAGCTGCGTCCCATGAAATGCAACAGCATAAACCAAAACTACTCAGGGTTAAATATACCAAAATACCGACACAATTTCATACAAACCAAAAAATATACTAACTGTAGCGCGTGGCGGTTACACTTTGAATTAAAAAAAAAAAAATGTTTTTTCAGTTTTAAAATTATTTTTATTTGAGCAAATACATAAAAATAAAGATAAAAAATTATATAAAAAATATTTTTAAAAAATTTCCTTCATTGAAATAAAAATATTTTTTCACTTTGATACCCTATAAAAAAGGGAATGAGTGGGCGTGGCACATTTTCCAACAAATATGTAAATTTTACAACAATTGGCTGTCAAATGGCGTTTAAATTATTTTATTATCTTATTTGGTTCAAAAGTTATGATTTTTGCAACGTAAAATGGGAAAAGGCGCTACTGTGCGTCGGTGGAAGGCGTGACCGCTACCAACGGCGGGGACGGGGGGGAGCAAGCCAGCGGTTAGACCTCTGATGTGACGGGAGCAGGTCATGTCAGTTGCAACGTTACTGCCGAAAAATTAACCCAGGGGAAGCTAAGCCGCTAAGTCGATACAGACTCGGACCTTGAGAGCGTGCAGCTCTCCTTCTCCACTAGCGAAACCAGGCACCAGCTCCCAGCGCAGGATCGGGCCAAAGCGGTCAAGCGAGGGAATGAAGGCCAAGAGGCTGTACGAGGCTGCCCTCCTCATTTACAGAAGCGATGAAGCCGGCAAAATGACCGAGGCGCAGTGGAAGATGGTGCATGCGCGGCTCGTTGAGTCATTATACGCACGGATGGAGGATGATACCGAAGCTCCCATGCCCACCTTCGATGGCGCTGGGTGGCTAAAAGGGGTCAAAATCCTAAAGTGCATGGATGACCCGACGAGAAAGTGGCTGACGCAAGCGGTCTGCCAGTTGGAGGCGCTGTGGAAGGGAGCCAAGCTAGAGGTGGTGGACCGGGAGCTAGTTCCATCCACTCCAAAGGCGAAGGTACTCTTTCCCATTGCAATCCAAATGGACCAGGCTGCTGCAGCGTCAGAATCCGGATATACCAATTGCGGACTGAAAGGTTCTGCACGTCGCGGCCCCATCACCCAAGGAGGGGGGGGCAAAGTGGAGTCCTCCAGATAATCAAGGAGGTAGAGGACATCCTTTATCCCAGATACGGGAAGATGGCGTGAGGCATGGGTAGCGTATACCTGCGCCTCAAAATGCGCCACCCGGGGGATAAGGATGCTCACACCCTGAAGGCAGACGTGGTGGAGAAGGACCTAGGATTGAAAATCATCGTGGATGCAGGAAATGACGCTGGATGAGTCCGACGAAGGAGAGGACGGTGACCTGACCGTAGTAGTCAACCCGTCGTATAGAGGTCAGGCCTGTACCCATGACACTCAGGGTGCTGCAGCTCAACCTCCATAAGAGCAAGGTCGCGTCGGCGGAACTCCTCATAGCCATGGAGCAAGGATCCGCCGACATAGCTTTGGTCCAGGAGCCATGGATCGCCTCAGGCAATGCCATCGCCGGACTGAAGTCCGCAAATTACAATTTGCTCCATCCACCAACGGTAAGCAGGAATAGAACCGCCGTACTTGTACGGAAGGGTGTACACGCTAACCTTATGTCTCATTACAGCTCTGATGACCTGACCGTGGTGATGCTAGAGAGCGGGAAAAAGCGCTTTTTGGTAGCTTCCTGCTACATGACACATGACAGGACGGCCCCACCAGACGAACTCATGAGCTTGGTAGAAGCCAGCCCGAAGGACCAGCAACTGCTCGTGGGTGCAGACGCCAACGCGCACCACTGCGTATGGGGGAGCCCCGACATAAACGACAGAGGTGAGTCCCTCTAAGACTTTATACTCTCGACCAACCTGAGTATAGCAAACGTGGGGGAGGAACACACCTATGTAGGTCCCACCTCCTCAAACGTGCTAGATCTTACTCTGGTAAGGGGACTAGGTACTTTGGTATCAGAATTGGTAGTCCTTTAGAGACCATCCTTCTCAGATCATAAGTACATACGGTTCCAATACGCATTCGAACACTCTCCCACGCAACTGGGGAAAGAGACTATCGTGACATGGCTCGCGATCTCTCCGGGCATAGTAGAATCCGCGGAAGACATAGAAAAGTCCCTAGAGACCCTCTCCAAAGAACTACTGGATGCGTACCACGCATCATGCCCTATATCGGACACGAGAAAGAGGACCAGGCCACCCTGGTGGAATAAGGACCTTTCACTTCGACGCAACAAACTCAAAGAATTCCTCAAAATCGCCAAGCAGGCGAAAGATGACATCATCAATGAGGAATACAAAGTCCTACTAAGGGACCACAAGAAGGAAATACGCAAGGCGCAGAGAAACTCATGGAGAAACTTCTGCTCCAATATAGAGACTGCCCCGGAAACGGCTAGACTCCGGAAGATGCTATCAAAACAGCCAACCATACAGAGTCAGCTCAAACGCGACGACGAACAGTGGACTGAGGGCAGCGAAGAGGCCCTAACAGCACTAATGCATGCGCATTTCCCAGGATGCACTGAGGTACCCGATGCAAATAAGCACCAGGACCTAGCAACTGGAGTAGGGCATCTCCCAAAAGGTTTAATATCCTCTGGTAGAATCCACTGGGCTATAGACTCCTTTGCGAGGATAAAAGCACCAGGACTAGATGGAATATTCCAAGCCATGCTGCAGGTGACCAAGGAAGTGATCACCCCATAGCTCTACGCAATATATACAGCTTTTTTAAGCACGGGCTATATCCCTATCCAATGGAGGACCTCTCGGATTGTCTTCCTGCCCAAAGCAGGAAACTGCAGCCACGTGAGCCCCAAGGATTACAGACCGATAAGCCTCACCTCATTCCTACTTAATACTCTGGAAAAGCTGCTGGACCTATACATCAGGAACGATGTAGGGAGACAACTGTCAACCAACCAGCACGCCTACACGAAGGGGAAATCAGTGGAGACGGCACTATATTCGTTGGTAGCCACCATTGAGAGAGCTCTAAACAATAAGGAGTATGCACTTGGAGTGTTCGTGGACATATCCGGGGCATTCAACAACGTTAGCACGGACGCAATAATGGATCGCCTAGAAGCGACCAACTCGTCCCCCGCTACCAACTTGTGGATAAAAATCTTCTAAGTTGCCGGCGGGTACAATCAGATTGGGGCACCGCTTCCATGGTGAGAGGAGCGCACAGAGGCACGCCGAAAGGTGGGGTTCTGTCGCCCCTCCTATGGAATCTGGTGGTAGACGACCTAATCAAGAGACTCGAGAGGAAAGCACCAAAGATAACAGCTTATGCGGATGACATTAGCATAATTATCACGGAAGTCTGTCCATCGACCCTCAGCTCGATCATGGAAACAACACTAAGGGAGATATGTGAGTGGGCGGAGAAGGTAGGACTCAATATCAATGCGGATAAGACGGACCTTAATGCATTGGGTCTACATATCGGTGGTGCGTTCGACTCTGCTGTATGGGGTCTTAGTGTGGTGGCAAGCCACGGAGAAGAAAACGTATAATAAGCTTATGGAGAGAACCCAGCGGCAGGCACTGCTCTGCAAATCAGGGGCGCTGAGGTCAACCTCCACCAAAGCACTCGAAACCATAATCGGTATATATCCCCTAGGAAAGGCGGCACAACGTCTGGTTGCATCAGGAAACTGGTCGCTACAAGGTTTCGGGCACAGTTCAATTGGTCGAGACATGAGCAGTACATCTGACTACATGATACTCAGAACGTGCCCGGATGTAAACACAAGAGTATTCATGGGACCAAATGACTGGAAGTCAAGCCAGGACCATGCTCAATACCTCAATATATACACCGACGGCTCCAAGATGGAAGGAGGAGTTGGAGCGAGCATATACTGTTCAGACCCTGAAATGAGGCTGTCGTATAAGCTACCAAGCTACTGCAGTATATTCCAGGCAGAAGTATTCGCCATCAGGAAAGCAGCAGAGCTTGCGTAGAGCATAAACCGTCCACATGAGGCGGTCAATTTGTTCGTAGACAGTCAAGCGGCGATAAGATCCATGCAATCATCAGCGGTCAGTTCCAAAAATGTACTGGCAAGCAGGGAGTCACTAGATAGCATAAGCACGACTAAGTCAGTGAGGATCTACTGGGTTCCCAGCCACCAAGGCATAGACGGTAACAAAACCGTGGACGGACTTGCATAAGGAAGGCG